CAACACTGCACTGGCTCCCTATTAAACATTGTATACATTTTAAAATCTGGCTAATTACTTATAAAGCTCTAAATGGTTTAGCTTCTCAGTACTTGAGTGAGCTCTTATCGCATTATAGTTCTCCACGTCCGCTGCGATCTCAAAACACTGGCCAATTGAAAATACCTAGAATATCAAAATCAACTGCGGGTAGCAGATCATTTTCCTATTTAGCGCCCAAACTCTGGCAAAATCTACCTAGCATTGTTCGGGAGGCAGGCCCACTCTGTCAGTTTAAATCTAGATTAAAGACCCATCTCTTTAACCTGGCATACACATAACACACAATAATTTTTCTATAATTCAAATCCATTAAAGAATTGTTAGGCTGCATTAATTAGGTCAACAAGACCTTGTCGGCCATGGGCACACGACCACGAGAACCAGAAGAGTGCTCTGATCAATCTGATGTGCGTTGCAGCCTGGAATTAAACCACACCATGCTGGCTTCGTCTGACCAGAGAAGAACTGGCCCCCCGACTGAGCCTGGTTTCTCCCAAGGTTTTTTTTCTCCATTTCTGTCACCGATGGAGTTTTGGTTCCTTGCCACTGTCACATTTGGCTTGCTTAGTTGGGGACACAATTTCTGGCAACATTGTTGACTTTACTGCACAGACACTATTGGAAGAGAACTAAACTGAGCTGGACAATGACATCACTGAATCAACAATGAACTGACTTTAACTGATAAACTGTTTTCTATTGTCCTCTTGCATTATCAGCACACGTTTTTCCTGTTTAACACTGTAAAGCTGCTTTGACACAATCTATATTGTATAAAGCGCTATATAAATAAAGGCGATTTGACTTTACTATGGCATCGCTGTAGAAACGCCCTTTTGGAACCTTTATTTTTTTATGTCATTGAAGTTTCTGTGTCTTTTAACATTGACATATGTCATGAATGAGATCTGACAGCCATGTCAAAGACTTTCAGAGAATAACTTTAGTTTGGGTCCATTTCTTAAATAGAATTGAAATAGTTTTAATAGGTGTTTGTAATTTTTGGAGTTTGACAACCCTCGATATGGAAAATGTCAACATGAACATCCATTTCATTCATTTTATTTTCCACGAAAAAGAAAGACAGGTTTGAAACAAAATGAGGCTGAGAAAATGACGACAAATTTTTCATTTTCTGGTGAACTGTGCCTAATAAAACATCTGACTTAATAGTAGTAATAATAACACATCTGTCCCAGTCCTAAGGCCTTCAGAATACTCTTTGTCAAAGCAAAGGTTTTAAATTGCTCTGGGACTTTATTTTTTAAGCTGATGAAAACCAACGCTCATTCCAAGGGTGCAATGATACAAAGTAGTAGCGAGACTGTCTTGGGGCTCTTTGCTTCTCTCAAAATAGCAATAACCATAAAGATAACTACAACACTGGAGCTCTTGTGTAGACTGAGACACTGATAGTCATGGTAACAGAGATACAGGAAGTGAGGAGAGCATGGTATCAGTATGGTACCACCCTATCAGTATTACAGCCGTGCACCAGTCTCCACGGTCAAAGTTTAGAGAAAGTTTCCTGATATAATTCACAAGTTAGGGGGGAGTAGAGATCCTGTAGAGATACTGACTAAAAGTTTGCCTGAAAAGAAGCTGCAAAAACAATGGAACAAAGCCTTATAAATCTCTGTGTTATGCGCCTGGTCGCTATGGCACCGATCATAACAGGACGCTCTCTTCGCTCTCTGATAATAATAAAGGAGAAATGACTTCAGCACACAGTTCACCAGACACTGAGGTCGAAGAGAGAAAACAGGCCACACAGAATTAGAACTGCAGGCTGCTGTGGAAGAACCAGGTGACTATTAAGGTATTTTACAGACCTTAGAAAGTATTTGGACGCTTAAACCACTTAAAAATTTAAGAATGACACTGCATTATATAACTAAATGACAATTATTGTTAAAATAATAATTAAAAATTTTTTTTTTTAAATAATACATATAATATACATACACACACATAAATATAGTATGAAGTCAGTAAGAACTGTTTGAAGAAATTAATACTTTTATTCAGCAAGGATGCATTAAATTGAACAAAATTGACAGTGAAGACATTTATAATGTTCCAAAAGATTTCTATATCAAATTATGTTCTTTTGAATCTTCTATTAATCAAATACTCCTAAAAATATTTTAATATTAATATTTTATTTCTGCAAAAATATTAATAATATTATTTCTTAAGTGCCAAATCAACATATTAATTCATTTTTTTACAAACATTTTAATCAAAACATATATATATATAAAAAAGTTTAAATTGATAAAACAACAGATATATTACAACACAACAATTATTAATATATTATAGCATTTAGGGACTTTCTGTGTTCAAGTTCAAGTGCTGCTTTTGCAGTTGTGGCTCTTAGGCTGTGGAATGCACTTCCAGTTGGTGTGAGATCCTCCCCCACATTGGACACATTTAAATCTAGATTGAAGACTCATTTATTCTCTTAAGCCTATGGTGTTGCCCGAGTTACATATGGGAGTTTTCATTTGTTTAGGCTTATCTGCATGTTTTTATTTTTATCTTGCCAAAAGCGGTTTTCAATTGTACTTTGCACTTTGGTACAACACTTTTTGTTATAAATAAACGTGACCCTGAACACCTTCTGTGTCCAAAAATTGAAGTGAAAACATCTAAATCAATATTTGTTTGCATAAAATATCTAATGAAATGACATTCAGACATTTTTAAATGTGTCAAAAGTGTAAAAATACTTTTTAAGTCCACTGCATCACTTACTTTCTGTATCAATAACTATGGAATACAAAATACAATCAAAATGATACATCTCTATCCTCAGATCATAAATGACAACAAATGTGTATTTTCTGCTTCCTCATCAATCTGTTCACTATCGCAACTTTATTTCTGCCCCCAGGTTTTTTTCCTTAACAGCTATATTTCATCTCTGTTAACAAGAAAATGAAATGCAATGACCGATATTAATCTGAGTAGATCAGATGGTCATTAAATCACCCGGTCTTTTCTACAGCCTCAAAGCCTGCAGTAAAACCTCTGACGTCACGTGTGCAGGGAGGTTTAGCCTGTAGTTGCATAACTGCACAGCCATGCCAGAATATACTGACAGAGCACAGATGGCACCCTATGATGTCAGAATACTATACCAAAAAGCCCTTAACCAATCAAAACAGAGTACTTTAAAGTACTTTGCCAGTAAATGTAGCAAACATGACAAGAAAAACAAAGATTGAAAGAAAACGTTTATTCCCATAATAAACACATACAGTACATCATCTCAACAAAATGTACAAAGTGCAATATGCATTGAAACTACAGCAAATCTGCAGTACAAAGGACAAAATTACTGCATACTTAATAGCGATAACAATGGTGACAGAATGAGGAGCGAGCACTCCCTATTTTGTGAGCCTCGCAATTTAACAGCATTGCTAATTCACGGAAAAGAGGCTCAATATCCAACTAGAGGAAAGTCAATGGATGATTTGGGAACAGACCAGTGTAACATTCTGAAGGAAAAAAAAGCCACTATCACAATCTCTCCCAAGCAAATATAGCTTGAATCTACAGCAATTTTAATATTGATCCTCGATGCAAAACTTTGGTTAGCACTTCATACTTGAATAGCATAAAATCTTTCCTCACTCCTTTGGAAAAGGAAAACCCTCTAAAACTTGGCAACTCCAACATCTTTCATGAGTTTGCAATGTCTTCCTCATTAATTAAAAGGAAATAATGCCAAGTATCAATGATACGTTTCTATTTTCTCTAATACAACAATAAAATTTAGGAGTGTAGAACAAGAACATGTCTGCCAGTTTTAAAATGTGCCCATGTAACTCAATGGCCTCTGCCTTAACTGGTAACATTATCAAATGGGAGTCACCACAGAACACTGCCTCTAGTGCTTCTGGGTAAGGCACTTGATATTGATGACACAAGACAATGCAGGCAACCAATAACATTTGATCTGTAATCTCTGACTCAGGTTTGACCTCAATATGGCATCAGACACAAAATGACAAAGACTTCGGCGAGAGGAGGAGGGTTTGGGGCACATTTATGAAGGATGCAAGTAACTGTTCATGACACGAAACAGCTTTCTGGCTTATTTCTCCTCTCTGTTTTTATATTCAGGGCCCAGAAGGAAGATTAAATAGTGCTGATACTGATTCAATCAACCAAAATCATTCAGGCAACCATCTACTATAGGATAGGGGAACTGATTCAAGATGCCTTTCAGATGAAAGTACCATGAACTCCCAGAAATTCTGTTATATGACCAACAAACATATTTAAATACGGTGTATTGCTGTGTGCGTGTGTGTGTAGAGGTGGAGACCGTGTGTATACTATGAGCCTGCTCATGTTTTTAACATTAAAGTGCACACACGTTTTCTGAAAGGGTTTTGTGTTCAGAATAGTTCACAGTAATGGTATAGCCGCTGTGCAAGGCAACGCTCACTCACACACACTCACAAACTTCACATTTCCGTTGTTCAAACTCAATGTGGTAGCATAGATACGTGTACAAAATCCATTAAAAAAAATATTGGAAAAGTATGCTGCATAATAAACCTCAAGTACTTCAACTCAAGCTTTAATTGGCCAACTGATTGGTAAATAAAGGCCTACTGACACTTGGACATGAACAAATGTCATGAAACAGCTGGATTGATGCATTTATCAAAGCTTTTGTGATCACATAAACTGGTATGGCAAGTGTCAAAGAAACAAACACACGAAGGAAAATCTCACTGTCAAGAACATGTCTGGGACATTTTTCAACCCGAATATCAAATAAAATCTATAAAATCAAAATTAAGAAATAATATTTTGCTTAAAATGATTCTTTCCCTCCCCCCCACTTGTTTTTCATTTTAAATAATGTCACTTCTTTTTACTATACTGAAAAATTATATATCCTTGATTTATTTATAAATTCGAAATTTTGTTGTATGGCTTTTATTTTATACCAATTTAAAAACTTTTGAATTATTGTACTACAGTATTTTTATAGCACATGCTTAATCAGAATCTAAAGGGAATCATCATTGTGAGTGATGGGAATTTTAAAAAAATACAAGTAAAACATTTTTAAAATGGTAATGATATTAAAAATATAATTTCAGTTCCTAAATACAAAATATAATTTCTGATATTTCTCGTTTGATTTTGGGGCAAAATGTAACCTGGACATGCTTTTATGAGATTTTCCCATAGAGATACACACACTCAGAGGTGAACAGCTGTTGAAACCATGACATATCTTTGACTTGTGTTGTATTATTTTGTTTCAGAGCATTCTTCAGTTCTACTTCTGTATAGAAAAGGCCAATCTACCTTACTTTCATTATGGAAAACTAACAGCAAGTACAAACAGGACAACGCGTTAGAACAGGAGACATGTAACAAATAACAGTCGTTCTTTAACTGGGTAAATTACTGATTTGTATCACATTTGGAAACATGGAGCAGCTGCTCTGCTAGAGAAACTACAGTGGAGGAGCTCCCGTTGATATAAAATCTTTACAAGTATGTGCTATTAGAGACTGTAACAGTAATCATTACCCAAAAGTCCTACTGCTATTTTGACAGCAACAAGGACAGTCACATTCATAAGAATAGCAACTGCATGTATGAACGTTTCAGCGGAAGGAGAACAGCAGCTTGAAGTCACCTCTGATTTTCTTTATCCTTCAAAGTGATTGTCTTTCATCACCCTCATCAAGTATCCGAAAGAAGAATCCCAAACAGATCTCCTCTTTCCCAATGAGTCTCCACACAGTCTGCGCTGTGTGCAAACACTGAAGTGCTGCCAGTCACCCTGTTTCGTTATCTGCCTGGCTTATGAACAGTACTGTATTGGTATGAGGTATTAGTTTGAAACCTGTGAGTGAATCATCAGTGCTCTGTGAATGATAAAAAAGTCAATCAGCACTCAAAGAACTTTCCTAATCACTGCAAAGAGTCCATTTCCTTTTACCGTCCAGCAAGGAAGCGAGAACACAGCAGGGTGTATGATTTGAAAACCCTTTTCAAATGTGTGACCATGTCCGAAAGAATCTGTGACTCAAACAGGGCCACAAATAAGGTGATTTATGGTGTGATAAATGGGTGGGCTGATGGAAACATTACACAATGGTCTATTTTGATGCTTTCAAGTAATGGCCTCTAGGATGCCGAGTGCTTATTTTGCTTCAGAACAGCAGAGAGGAAGTGAAGTGAAAACCTCATGAACTGTTCATCAGTCAGCGCAATACACATCCATTTGGGTTCCATGCAACGAAAGCCTGTCCAGAAGGTTTTGGATTCATTGAATATTATGTTTATATTCATTACAGAAAGCAATTCTTTTGTAGAAGACACTCTTCCACTCACATTCACTCTTCTGTGAATGGCCGATGTTCCCAAGTGGCTGAAATGTTTAAAAAATATATAAGTATAAATATCTCAGAGTAACTTTGTTGCAGAACTACAGGTGAAGCTGAATCTCCTGCTGTCAGCTCTTGGACTCTTCAGGTCCTGCTTCAGCTTGGTTGAAGGCCTCCATGTTTGTGGAGGTTGAGGAGGTGGACGAGGGCCCAGGTCTGGCCCATTCCGGGCTGAGTGAATGCTCGGGTTCTGGGGACAAAGAGAGCATGAGAAGGGTCCCTGCATCAGAGGAGCACGCCGAGCACAAGTCTTCAGACGAGAAGGTTAGGCTGCCCAGTTTGGCGAGTGAGTTGGAGCGCTTCAGTCGAGAAGGTACAGTAAGTCCTGCAAGTCGCATCCGGGCTTCGATTTCTTGCGTACGTTGACGCACAAGGCCCGGTTTGCCACGGACGCTGCGGAGGCTGTCGCTGCTGGAGCTGCGGGTGAGCGTGGAGCCATGCGGGGACGAGACTGGTGTCAAACCACCCGAGCCGAGGAGCGCTAACAAGGCCTCGTTTGTCAGTGGCACCGCCACTTCGGTAGTGAAATCTGCCCGTGTTCCAATGGGCCTGTTGAGAGGGCCGGTTGAATCACTGGAATTGTTCATTGCATCCTCGGATTTGATTGAACCAGTTCCCCGTTGCTCATTTGCACGTGCACGCTCCTGAAAGAGACCGGAAAGTTTTTCCAAGCGCTCTTTTCGGCGGCGAACAAGGCCGGAGCGTTGCAGCTGTAACAGAGTCTCTTGTTGTTGTGGAGACACCTCTGCCTTCTCCAAACCCTTTATCTCTCTTTCGTTCCTGAGTAGAGCAGAGGAACCCTGTGCATCAATCACTTTCTGTTCAGAATCTCCTTCCCCTTTGGCTTCAAACAGTAGTGTCCGGTTATCAGTTTCTTGGTCAAGAGATTTGCTTTCTGGCTTATCTTTATGCCCTAAGGGCATTGCATTGGCATCAAGGCACGGATCTGAGGCAAGTTTGCCATTCTTGGCTGTCACAGACAGGTTGGCACAAGGTGGTGTCTGAATTGAGATACTGGGCACAATGCTGAGGGGTAAAGGGGCAAGGGCTCGTCTGTTAGCCTCCAACACAGCAGTCTGGGTGGGCTTGGAAGCGAATGACAAACCAGGAGCAAGCCTCGGCTTAGCATGCTGCTTCAGATGGGCACTTTCCTGAACAAAAAAAGACAAGGAAAAATAATGTAACAGAAATAACATGTAGTGGTGCCGTGATAGAATCATGTGAGATACTCACAGTGAGATTTTGTTGCGTTCTGAGGTGGTTGTTGTTGTTGGAGTTCTCGTTGCACAGATGGTTCAGGCTTGCGAGATCAATCACCGTTTCATTCGACAACTCCTCACTATCTTGCCGTCCTCTGTCATTCCCATCTCCTCTCTTCACTCCCTCTGTTAATGCCTCCATTTCAGCTTGCTCTTTCTGAGCCTCCTCCTCATCCTCTTCTTCCACCGTGCTGAACTCCAACCGTAGACGTAGCTCCTCCAGAGGCTCCGCCCCTCGAGAACAGGTCTGAGCAGCTGTGCCCTCTCCTGGGACACCGAAGTGTGGTAAAGGAAGGCCTTCGCGCCCCTCAAAGGTTTCATCATCAAGAAGCGCATCTTGCTCCACATCTGCAACCTCGATGTAGACACGCTCTACATCCACCAGAGGCGGTGCATGGATCGGCGTGGAAGGTTCACTGTTGAGGGCTGAGTCTGACAGGCGACGGAAGTAGTAGTGGTAGTTTTGCGGGTGGCTGGGGTCCAGATCTAAGCTAATTGGAGAGGAGTGGGCGGTAGGCTCACAGCATACGGTGACCCTGGGGTTTGTGGGGTCTGGGGTGACATGATCCACAGTCTCAGAGTTCACACAGCAAGGGGAAGCTGCTTGCTGGCAATCAGGGTGATCGCAATCTGAGTCGGGATGCCACAGACGGTTATGACGCTGCTTACTGAAGGGAAAAAGTATAGAAAGGGTTAAAAAAGGATTGAAGGGAAAGTTCACCCAAAAATTGAAATTCAAATGGGGTCCAACATTGGACCCTACTGAGTTTCATTGTATGAAAAAAAACATATTTTTACACTGTAGAAATGTATATGAATAAATGATGACAGAATTTTTGTTTTGTGGGTGAACCAAATTACAATAATATAGGAAATTTCTCTTGTACCTGGCATCCAGTATACCCTCATACTCCGCCAGCTGTCTCATGAAGCTAGCATTGGGACGGGTGATACTGCGCTTCTGTTTGACGAAGTTGTATGCTTTTTCCAGAGACCAGCCGTACTCTTTCATGGCATATGCGATTACCGTAGAGGCCGAGCGGCTTACGCCCATCTTACAGTGAACCAAACATTTGGACTGATTCTTTCTGCAGAGTACAGAACATGAGGGTATAAAAAGTCACATTGAAAGAGTCAAGTATGTTGCTTATATTTAGAGAGAAAAATCTAAAATAGAGCCTTACTTTGCTTTGACAATGAAGTTGTAGGTCTCGTTCCAGTGAGCCAGTAAGTCTGTGGCCTCGTTGTCATACACTCGGACATTATGATAGCAAAATGTTCCTGGGAAAAAGTTATCTATTTCCCTCGTAACATTTAAGATGTAGCCCACCCTAAAACAGCAATGCATTTAGAGATCGCATAAATTACATCTGGACAACAATAGAAAACCATATGCATGCAAGTTTATTCTTATTCCTTACATCAGGAACTAAAATACACCCTGTTTCTTGCTGTAAAAGAAACAGCTTTGATGGATTTACTCTGAACTTTATCTGAAACAGGAGAAAATGCTGCCCTTTAAGAGGTGATACGATACACACTCACTTTAAACTTTCACCTTTACCTAACATTAACCCATTTAAAGAAGCAGTATCTTGAGAGAAACAACAGCATGGGAAGAAAACAAGCTGTGGATGTCAGTAAAGGTAGGGGTAAAACTCACTCACCCAGTTTCCTGAAGCTCCTCTAGATTTGAAGCATTCCATTCAGAACCCTAAAAGATAAACAATGCAAATCACTGGCTTTAGGGAAATTGGCATCTAGTGCCCCATATCTGACAAAAACGATCTGCCCTTCCATAGAACTAACAAGCTTTTTACATTAAATAAATTAAATTTCCTTGACAAACTTTCCCCCCATTTTTATTTGTATTTTATTTGTACTTATTTAACTGATGTGATTTGTCATATTTGTATCTTTCGGATAAATTATTTATTTATTTTGGGGTAGGATGACCTAGGGGAAAGGCAATAAAAAGAGGGGGGAAAACAATAGGAATTGGCAGGTGTGATAAAAGCAGCACTAACCAGATAGAGGTGGTCAAAGATGAGCGTGGCTTTGTCCATCTGCCCAAGAATAAGCAGCATCTCATTATCAATGAACTCTTTGTACTCTTTCAGGTTGCAGTTCATCTGTTGCTCTAGCTCATTACGAATCTAAAGAAAAACACACATCATTATTGACTTAATCTCAGCAAATGTTCTGTTTTAAACCCTGTTCACACCTGCTATTAAAGGGGTCATATGATGCTGCTAGGAGAGACGAGACAAAAACATTAAAACCCATTACAAACGAGGCATTTGTTGCATCCAGTGGGGACATAATTACTGATTATAATGACTTATACTGTTTTTTTACACGTTGCGTTGCATTGCATCGCGCCGCTTAAACCTAAAACTCTGTCTGCATTTGTGATCGGAGAAATGACAAACAAGTGCTACTCTACTGCCCAAAACTCGCGTTTGAATCATCAAATCCTTTAAATGAAAACGTACTTACAGACTGTGAGTCAGAACTGCCGGCATTGTAGTCTACTCTCCCAGGATCAGTAAACAGTCCTCCATAAAATGGCCTTATCAAACTAATCTGAATATTTGGGTTAAACTGTTCTGGAATAGTGTTGTAAATACAACTTAACCACTGATTTGTAGTCGTGTCCTCTTTTGGAAGACCAAACAAAGTAGTTTCGCTTTCACAAAGAAAAACATGGCGGCCTAGCGGAAGCGGAAGCCACGGCTAAGTGTGAGCTGAGGCCAGGCTAAAGTTAGCAGAGGCGGCGGGGTTGAGAACAGCGCGGCCGGCGGATCCGACGAAGAAGCGGCAACCACATGTGACGTAGTTCCTAGCCATATCGGCCTAGAAAATCGCAACTTTTAATTTTCCGTATGTCTTAGTACACGATGTAACTACAGAAGAGTCAAGTTTTAAATAGGAAAAATATCAAAACTCTTTGGTCATTTTTGAGCGAGATGCCAACTGTCTAATCAGATTCAATGATCTATGCTAAGCTGCACCTAAAAGTGCTACCGCCAGACCCGGAGATCGGCTGAATGGATTCGAAAACGGTAAAACTCAACTGTTTAACTCTAGGGGAGTTGGAAAATGAGCCTATTTTCAAAAATAGTGGCGTGTTCCTTTAAGATCCATCTCAGACAATCTGATCACAAGAGGTCAGCCGAGACACACTGCAGGGTCCTGTGGCTTCTGTGACCACTTATGATCAGATTTTGAGAAGGAGGGTCTGTTGTGACGTCACACAGTATGTCAGTGTGTAACTGTGTGTTGATAACACTTATGATGACCTCTCTGCGCTTCATACTGACCTCTTTGGACGTGACATTTTCAAGGTCCTGGCACATCATGATACTCCTGAGTTTAGCTTTGATTAAACATTCTGTTCTTTCCCTCTCTGTTGGCCTGAGGAACAGAAACGTAACACAACCTAAATCAAGGGTTTAAGAAAGAGCATAATTTTAAGGTGAAGGGAACAATTTTATTTACTTACTTTTTTATTATTATCGTTTTTATTATTATCATAATTCATAAAGTCAAAATTACATTTATACAATAAACAGATAAAACATGTATTTGGTTTCATCATAGCTCTTTCATTATTTTTTCCAAATAAAAAAGAACAAATATATAAACAAAAAATATAAAAAGCATGTATGAGAAAACATACAAAAAAAAGCCTGAAAAAAAAGATGCAGATGACCACTGATTATTAAACAGATCAAATATTAGATTAAACTGTGACAATATTTAACAAATATGTCTGACTTTTACGCATGGTCTCAATGCATGGTCACAAAAGAAAAAAAATCCCTTCCAAAAAACGAATCAAAATGTTAATTTAAATCTGCTGGTGGGTTTCACAAGTGCCAAGGACTCTGGGCTTTCAGGGTTTGCACTCACTTGTTAACAAAGACTGCAGGAGAGTCGGGTCGCAATGTTTCCAGGTCCAGCATGGCGTTCCACTCATTGATGCAGCTCTGTTCCGAGCTGATACAGCTCTCATAGTACCCCATCCATGTGAGCGCCATGCCACCGGGGAAATAGTTGTACCTTCGTGACACCTCACTTGCCTTGTGTAAAATCTGCAGTGCTGACCTAAAGAAAAAGCAGGTTAAAGGTGAGTAAGAGACCTGTGCCAATAGTCTCAGTAATGAGTTTAAATGATCATGATGTGATCTTAAAACGGATCAAACTATATCTCAAACTGAGTGAAGTAAACTGACATTGGTAAAAGAAAACTTTAATCTCAGTTGATTCAAAAATGCATTGAATTTGGTAATCATAACTGTTTGTCCACTAAGCAGTACATACCAAAAATACCTTTCTGGACAGCATGTTGGAGTTCCATATAAATACCATAATATGTGGTTATGGCATCACTTTAAACATGGTTTATATCAAATACCATCTGGTGATCTGATATTCACTGTACCATGGTACAGCCACAGTACTTTTTTGAAAGTGTCACCAGATGGCAGTGTGGAGCTCTATTATATTTAAGGATGTCAAACTCCCAAAGCACCTGTGAACATCTGAAAAACAGTCCACTCACATCATCTTTAACCCCCTGAGGAACCGTTTTTTTTTTGTTGTTTTTTTTTACCCCAGTAACAAACAAGAGCACAAATTCACCCAGCCAAGTAGACAAAGGCTCTTGTTGGAAAAAACTAATTAACTTGTCACCTAATTGGGAGAGATGACTGTAGGATTTATCATTGCATGAAATACTGTTAAAATAGCAGTTCTGAGTGATTGTCTGAAGTTGTTTGGAAGCTTTAGGTTAATCACTTAAATTATCACATCAATCATTTAAAAACAGATTTAACAAGTAAAACTAGAAAAAAGTGACCCAAGAAGACCCAATATAGAACATGAACACAAATCATTCTATATATCAGCATTTCCACTACAAACTGAAATGTCTAAAATGTGAGTTTAAATTGCTCTAGTTCATTATTTATTGATGTTATTTTCTCACCACATGGCCTGAACTGACACTGGCTTGAAGATGTGTGTGTGCCCGGCAGTAGTCACACTGAAGCCCCTGGAGACATGAGAAGAGAGGTTAAATAAGGCCATCATCATACGTCTTTACAATAGAACTACAACCTATCTAAACAACAATAAAAATAAGAAATACTTGTTAATATTGTCATTGGCTTCATTTTCTGAAAAATGAATTCAACACGGTTTATAAACCACGCTATCTACATCAGTGCATCAAAATTTGAAGTGTCATCAGACCAGCAGCAGCATTTCCTCTCCATTCCCAGAGGGGGCAGTACTCACCCATCACCATCTAAATGAATCTTGGTGTCACTCCACAGTGGCAGCACCATCCCAATAGAGCAGTTCTTACTGTAAATGAAAGAAAAACTCCCTTATTTGACTAAATGTAATGTCCCTGCAGGAGGTAACAAACTCTAAAAACTTGTCTTTTTGATGATAAAACTGTATTTGATTTTTAAGTCACCTGTCTTTGTTGCTGAAGTCCATGCCCAGTAAGATGTTTTCCTCAGTGTCTTGACGGCCATTTGTGTAGACTACCACCATGTACCGCACACGGTCTGACCAAGCTCTATTATATTTAAGGATGTCAAACTCCCAAAGCACCTGTGAACATCTGAAAAACAGTCCACTCACATCATCTTTAACCCCCTGAGGAACCGGTTTTTTTTTGTTTTGTTTTTTTACCCCAGTAACAAACAAGAGCACAAATTCACCCAGCCAAGTAGACAAAGGCTCTTGTTGGAAAAAACTAATTAACTTGTCACCTAATTGGGAGAGATGACTGTAGGATTTATCATCGCATGAAATACTGTTAAAATAGCAGTTCTGAGTGATTGTCTGAAGTTGTTTGGAAGCTTTAGGTTAATCACTTAAATTATCACATCAATCATTTAAAAACAGATTTAACAAGTAAAACTAGAAAAAAGTGACCCAAGAAGACCCAATATAGAACATGAACACAAATCATTCTATATATCAGCATTTCCACTACAAACTGAAATGTCTAAAATGTGAGTTTAAATTGCTCTAGTTCATTATTTATTGATGTTATTTTCTCACCACATGGCCTGAACTGACACTGGCTTGAAGATGTGTGTGTGCCCGGCAGTAGTCACACTGAAGCCCCTGGAGACATGAGAAGAGAGGTTAAATAAGGCCATCATCATACGTCTTTACAATAGAACTACAACCTATCTAAACAACAATAAAAATAAGAAATACTTGTTAATATTGTCATTGGCTTCATTTTCTGAAAAATCAGACCAGCAGCAGCATTTCCTCTCCATTCCCAGAGGGGGCAGTACTCACCCATCACCATCTAAATGAATCTTGGTGTCACTCCACAGTGGCAGCACCATCCCAATAGAGCAGTTCTTACTGTAAATGAAAGAAAAACTCCCTTATTTGACTAAATGTAATGTCCCTGCAGGAGGTAACAAACTCTAAAAACTTGTCTTTTTGATGATAAAACTGTATTTGATTTTTAAGTCACCTGTCTTTGTTGCTGAAGTCCATGCCCAGTAAGATGTTTTCCTCAGTGTCTTGACGGCCATTTGTGTAGACTACCACCATGTACCGCACACGGTCTGACCACACGCTCTCTAACCGCACCGCCTGCGGATTACAGTTGATTGACAGTTGATTGGTTTGTGTAAAACCAGGGCCCACATAAACACATATACATGCAAAAGCACAATTTATTAAACGTATTAACATACTGAACTGTAGAATAGATTACCTGAAAATGTCAAATTCGGTTCATTATTCACTTACCCTCATGCCATATTTCTCTCTATGTAAGACAACAGGAGCATTTTGAAGAATCTTCACGCAACTTTTTTCCATGCGTCTGTCAAGCTCGTCAAACATTGTGCACTATATATTAGCTCTTCAAAAGCAGTGGTTCTCAAACTTTTTGACTCCCTGTCAAAGGTCCCTCACTGTCAAACAGTATTCAATAGCTCTCCTATTCACCTAATAAAACAAATATATATATATATATATACTGTATATATATATATATATACACACACACTCAAATAATGTCAGTTTAATGATGTACAACTTTGTTTTTAGTGTTTTAGGATCTTAATTACAATTGTGTTAATGTTACTAAATTTAAATATTTTTATTTACTTATTTGGGCAACCTTGGAAGTTTGGCGATGCCCTCCAGTGGGCCCCGGGCCCCTGATTTGGGAACCACTATTCTAAAGTCATTGCTTTGTGTGAGGAACAGACTAAAATTTGACATTTTTGATAACCGATGATCCCACCGGTGCTCAAATGGACTTAAAAATGGTCTACCAAGAATGACGCTCAATGCCATTTGACACCGAATGTCACTGGTTTTTGTGGTCAAACGTGATTGATGTCATATTTGAGAGCTATACCAGAAGGAAAAAATTTCAGTATATAATAATAATACAAAATTTGTCTCTTAGTCACACAGACCTATTATGATTTTGGAATAAACTTGGAATTTTGCCTATGAGTCACACTGAACCATTTTTATTATGTTTTTGCCACCACGTCATCGATGCTTCAAAATTCTTTTGTTGTGTTGGGATTGGAATGCCATGAGGTTTAGTGAATAGTGACAGAATGTTCTTTTTTGAAGATAAATCCAGCTGCATGCACGTCATAGCTGACTGACACTAGTATTAATATAGATTTCATCATGGAACTTTCTGAAACAGCAGGTATGACATTTTAACTTTAACTTAATAGAAAAGAAAACAGTCTTGAGGCAACACTTTGACAACGAAACCCATTCAGCCTGACTGCATATAACTTACTGCCAAAATGTTAGTAATTGACAACGTGTGTTCTCTCACCAATTTGATGCGGTCTTCAGAGCGAAGAATGTTGATCATCACCTGTAGATGCTGAGGTAAGTCACCTGTTGAGTGAAACCATCATTACAATCCAAACAAAACCATGACGACTACTTTGTTTACATCGACACCAGCAGCGTCTCAAACCCTTAACGAAAATCTATTGAAGAAAAACAACCATAAAAGTCAACAAGATAACTAACGGTGATGTCATATGGTTGAGTATAAAAGTCAAGGTTTATAAGAGAAGCCGAGCCAAGAAGAATGCCTGATGAGTGATTCAAATCAGTCCTTAAATGTTGGGTGGGAAGACAACAGTATGCTTTTGATTAACGTTTTTACAGCACTGCTGATTTTACGATATTCCAGAGAACAAAGTGTACAAATACACAGTTACTGTAGAAGGATATGAAAAATTAGTTGTTTCTTATGTTTACATATCTCAGATAATCCTATTTAATTAAATGATAAAGCTTGACATGAATAAGCGACTTTCGGGTGCATTATGATCAGGTATGTGCAAATAAGTTCTATCCTTTGTGCCAAAGATGTCAATAATTATAAATCTGACAGTCATCTTAATCTAGCCCCTCCCCTTTTAATGCAAGTCAATAAGAGAAACCAAGTATTGGATACACAAGATCTGTTTATATTTCACTCTCCTCTTTAACACAGACTGACTAACTCCTTTGACCACTGACTGTGGTGCGTTCCTACACAAACAAAGCTCCTCCTACTCTTGTAAGTTTTGGCAGAATCCATGAAGCTATCAAGTAACTGGTGTAGTACGTGTGGGAGGTCAATCAAATTGTACAAATTGTAGCAGGTTAAGAAGAACAAAGCCAAAAACGTGAAAAACATATGAACTCAAAGCTTAAGAGCCAAAGCCTGTCATGTACACTCAACAAAACAGATGACGTAGTCTGTGGTTTATTGGCTGCTTTGCATTCGGGCCATAAATGAAAAAAAAAAAAACAGGGTACGTTTTCTCCTCCAAAAAACAAGCCCCTTGGTTTTCTCGGTCTCAATGCAAAGAATTTACCTAACTTTACATGCTTATCTGATAAAAACTGATATGTAAGAGAATAGCTAAGGCAGCGCAGGATCCCAGAGCACAGCTTTGATCAGAGCTATACAGGTGCATCTCAATAAATTAGAATGTCGTTTTTCCACGACATTCTAATTTATTGAGATGCACCTGTATAAGCTATATTGAAAAGGCATTCAAGTTTGAAACAACATGAGGATGAGTAAATTAGGACAGAATTTGCATTTCTGGATGAGCTATTAGTTTAAGGATTATTCTAAACGATTGAGCACAGTTTGACACACAGTTTTCTCCACCAGTTATGATTTTGGCAGCGATTCATCATTTAATTTGAGGAGTTTTGCCATGATGAGCCAATCCCTGTGACTGACACTGAAATAGGATGCAGTTAAAATCAAAGTATTCGAGACTTTAGTCTTGAACAAATCTACTCGCAACAATAATTTAAATATAACGTCAAACAGACACAATTTTATATCTTTTCAAAATTGCACTCACTTTGCACAGTAATTTTAAACATTTAAAACAAATTAGCATTTTAAAAGAATTTCTGAAGGATCATGTGACATGGACGCAGAAAATTCAGCTTTGCCATCATAGAAATCTTTTTTTATTGTAAAATATATTAATTTACAAAACAGTTATTTTAAATTGTACTGTAGTAACATTTCCCAAAATTACTGTTTTTACTGTACCTTTCCTTGGTAAGTTTAAAAGACTTCCTACTAAAACATAAAATGATTGTGCCGACCCCGAACTTCTGAAAGGTGGTGTATTTTCATACGTACATTGAACGCATCTCAAAAGATTAAGAAAAATGCAATTCCTCAGAACACGACCTTTTTAATTGCCTTTGTGCTTTACTTGGACCTCTGAAGAACTTTTCCTTTATCTCATTATTTCACTCAAAAAAACAAGCAGTACAGGTGCAAATCCACTTGCAAATATTTATGGTGTATCTTGCTTTAGGAAGTTGGACAGTGTTTAATAAATCACCGCTGATACTATTTTTGACTGTCTGGCTGCCGGAGCCATGGGAATGCAAATAGAGGTGACTGATGACATCAAAAAAATAAAAATAAAAAACCCTAACAGGACCAAAATAAGATAGAAATCTATGTCATCAACATCTAAAAGCAAGGACATTTAAAGATGTCAGCATGAAGTGAATATATTTTAGAGCTTAATTTACATTCGACATGAGTACCAAGGATTGTAGCAAGAAATGTAAGAAGGTCTTATTGAGGAAAAAAAGCTGAGCTTTTCTCACTGTCAGAGAACATTTTGTACCTAGACTGTAACAAAGGAAGAGAAACCCTACATCGTCTAGTCTAACACTGACATCCGCAGTTTCACAGTGGAGACAGCTGACTTCTCCACCTTTTAGTGCTGTGATGCAATTGTACTTTTTTCAAATCATCTAATTCTTGTAATCTAATTCCAGATCTTCTAGACTGTCTGCATAAGTCACTTCTAGGAAGTCTTTGTCTGGTTCCTCTTGTGATTGATGGGCAGTTGAGTTATTATTCGTACAACGTACAAAAAGCTCATGACTCAAGCGAAGCTCCAACCCCATGTGCCCTGAGGTCAGACTGTATGTAGAAACAAAACCGCTTGTCAAACCTGCAACAACTCACATGTGATTAGCACTACTGATGCGTTCAAACCGGTCAAATCGAAACTTCACGTCCCAACAAGAAGTCAGGTGACTAATATTAGCCAACTGACAAAACAGATGCTTGTTAATGTCAGGGGTTTATAACAGGAAAAAAAGTCAGTCTAAACCTGCTGTGATAGTCAGTGCGTGCATAAAGCCTGAGGGTTTGCTGCGTCTGCATGGTGTTTAGTTTCTCTCATAACAGATTAAATTTGTCCGGAGCAATTGTACACCCTTCTGTTTAGCAGTAAATTAGCATCTTTAATCAATTCAACATGTCACACGAGTTAGAAAGTGCTCGACGGATGGCGGCTAGGACATCTGTTTTCATGCATTTATGACATTCCTTGATTGATTGAATGTCTCAGATCAATTGCACAAATGCTTGTTTTTCTAGGAGTGGCTTCATATTGTAGTTAAAATCAGTCGTACTGTATAAACTACTGTAGTTAAAAACGGTTTGTGAATTGTGTCCTCCAAACTAAAAATGCAATATTATATATTTTATTAATATTTGTTGAGTAAAAAAGTTGTCACATGTGTTTTATAAGCTGTACATATAAAACCATTGTTTTGGCCAACAGAAATTGTAATTAATATATTTTTGTATATTATATTTTAACATTTCTGCTGTTTAATGAATAACTGTTGTTTTTCCATAACTCGCATAACCGTTTTACTGAGTAAATTTTCCTATAATTGGTTGTTTAACTGGCAGATTGTGACAACTTACCCCATATAATGACAAAACATTCCCCACTATTTGTATGCATGTCTAATATATTTTTAAAGGAACACTCCACTATTTTTGAAAATAGGTTCATTTTCCAACTCCCCTAGAGTTAAACAGTTGAGTTTTACCGTTTTCGAATCAATTCAGCCGATCTCTACGGAAGTTCTAAGCGGCCATGCATTCTTTTTTTTTTCCTTCTTGTTTTCTCGTTATAACGACTTATTTTCTCGTTATATCGACATAACGAGAGTTGTTTTCTCGTTATAACGACTTATTTTCTCGTTATATCGACATAACGAGAGTTGTTTTCTCGTTATAACGACTTAATTTTCTCGTTATATCGACATAACGAGAGTCGTTTTCTCGTTATATCGACATAACGAGAGTCGTTTTCTCGTTATAACGACATAACGGGAGTTGTTTTCTCGTTATAACGACTTAATTTTCTCGTTATCTAGCACTTTTAGCTGTAGCTTAGCATAGATCATTGAATCTGATTAGACCGTTAGCATCTCGCTCAAAAATGACCAAGGAGTTTCGATATTTTTCCAATTTAAAACTTGACTCTTCTGTAGTTACATCGTGTACTAAGCAATACTCTCATTCCGGCGCAATGATATTCCACAGCGCCTGAAAATAGGCTTATTGGAAGTTCCCTAGCTGGGGACTATTTTCAGGCGCTGTGTAATATCATTGCGCCTGCTGCACCCATGGTATGGCAGCAAAGTTCCTTGATTACTACACAGGAATGAGAGTAGTGGAGTGATCCTTTAATGTTAAGTATGCGTCTATACAGAAAGTACGACAGCCTCTCTACCTTTATGTTCCATTCTCGTTTCAACTGTCCCATAAATGTGACCCTGGACCACAAAACCAGTCATAAGTAGCACGGGTATATTTGTAGCAATAGCCAAAAATACATTGTATGGGTCAAAATTATTATTTTTAAATGATTAAAATAGAATTTTCTTTTATGCCAAAAATCATTAGGATATTAAGTAAAGATCATGTTCCATGAAGATATTTTGTACATTTCCTACCGTAAATATATAAAAAAAGTATTATCATTAGTAATATGCATTGCTAAGGATTTCATTTGGACAACTTTAAAGGCGATTTTCTCAATATTTAGATTTTTTTGCACCCTCAAGATTCCAAATTTTCAAATAGTTGTATCTCGAAATATTGTCCTATCCTAACAAACCACACATCAATGGAAAGCTTATTTATTCAGCTTTCAGATGATGTATAAATCTCAATTTTAAAAAAATTACCCTTATGACTGGTTTTGTGGTCCAGGGTCACAAATTAGAGGCAAAATAAAAAAATAATGGTCCCCTTTAGACATTCTGTTGACTATAACTTTGCAACCACATGTCAACCACCAGTCATTAGAGTATTATTAGACTGTCTGCTAACACTTATAAGTATGTCAACTTCCCACTCTAACGGTCTAATACTCTAATAGAGTTAGTTGACATGTAGTTGCAAAGTTACCATATAGTCAACAGAATGTCTAAAAGGGACCATCAAAATAAAGTGTAAACAAAAAACATATTATATTTACATATAATTACATATAATACATATATTTACAAAAACTAAGTAAGGGCAAAAAAAAAGTGTTTTCTGAACAAACATGAAAACTGTTAACTCTGTATTAACATATCTGCATCCTAAACCTCATAAAACCACCAGTAACCACATAAAACAGAGAGATGTCCCATGTGCCCGGTCTATAAATGAGATTATTACAGTATGTGCTGAGCTAAATTGCTAATCTGGCTAATCCACACACACACACTTGTCTGGGACACGCTTAGCCAGCACTGAGTCGGTCCATCAGCCGGACAGCATCTGCTAACGAATTTCTGAATTTCCCTCTCATGACAGACACAGCATGCAGTAAAGTCATTCTTAAAAAATTACTATAGTATGGGCGACATTTGACTCTTGAGTCAGGGGGGGCCACACACACACACTTGTCTGGGACACGCTTAGCCAGCACTGAGTCGGTCCATCAGCCGGACAGCATCTGCTAACGAATTTCTCTCTCATGACAGACACAGCATGCAGTAAAGTCATTCTTAAAAAATTACTATAGTATGGGCGACATTTGACTCTTGAGTCAGGGGGGGGGGCAAGAAAAAGAATATATATATATATATATATATGAAATAAATAAAAGCAAAATATATATATTTTTCTGATGTAAGCATCAAACCAATGCCCTACCGTATTGCAACGCATTAAAGCAGTCAATCCAACACAGTCAAGAATAACTTAAAGAGGTTGCCACCGTTTAGTAAACTGTGGACTAGCTTTGGCTCTAATTACCCTTATGACTGGTTTTGTGGTCCAGGGTCACAAATTAGAGGCAAAATAAAAAAATAATGGTCCCCTTTAGACATTCTGTTGACTATAACTTTGCAACCACATGTCAACCACCAGTCATTAGAGTATTATTAGACTGTCTGCTAACACTTATAAGTATGTCAACTTCCCCCTCTAACGGTCTAATACTCTAATAGAGTTAGTTGACATGTAGTTGCAAAGTTACCATATAGTCAACAGAATGTCTAAAAGGGACCATCAAAATAAAGTGTAAACAAAAAACATATTATATTTACATATAATTACATATAATACATATATTTACAAAAACTAAGTAAGGGCAAAAAAAAAGTGTTTTCTGAACAAACATGAAAACTGTTAACTCTGTATTAACATATCTGCATCCTAAACCTCATAAAACCACCAGTAACCACATAAAACAGAGAGATGTCCCATGTGCCCGGTCTATAAATGAGATTATTACAGTATGTGCTGAGCTAAATTGCTAATCTGGCTAATCCACACACACACACTTGTCTGGGACACGCTTAGCCAGCACTGAGTCGGTCCATCAGCCGGACAGCATCTGCTAACGAATTTCTCTCTCATGACAGACACAGCATGCAGTAAAGTCATTCTTAAAAAATTACTATAGTATGGGCGACATTTGACTCTTGAGTCAGGGGGGGGGGCAAGAAAAAGAATATATATATATATATATATATGAAATAAATAAAAGCAAAATATATATATTTTTCTGATGTAAGCATCAAACCAATGCCCTACCGTATTGCAACGCATTAAAGCAGTCAATCCAACACAGTCAAGAATAACTTAAAGAGGTTGCCACCGTTTAGTAAACTGTGGACTAGCTTTGGCTCTTCTTGCTGACTTGAAGGGTGATGCTTCCCGTTTGTCGATTGATGGCCTTTAATTTTTAACCAGAAATGTGCAAGCTGCTTTTCTGATGTTCACTGAAGTTTTCCGTGTCTTTTTCCCATGTCACTTGAAATGTTTCCGTTTTGAATCATTATTACCAAAGGCGAGACGCGTGGGGAAAAAATAAACAATCAGTTGTGGGACTATATTCGGTCATAAATCGCACAACATTCATTGCTGAACTTTCTACCGTTCATTGCTGGAAATGAAATGAAATTACTGGTTGATATGTCCCGATCTCAATAAAGTTTACACATGCTTTTGGTCCGTGATTTAGATCTTGCTCGGGACGCGTGCTGTCTGTGGAGGTTTGGCCAGGACCGGTTTCAGAATTAAATCAACATATTTTATGTTCCGTCCATTGCCAATCACTGCTATCCGAGAGTGAATCCTGCATAAATATGCGGATGTCATTCCCGAAACTTTGCAGGGTGTAGCCTATGTGTCCAAAAAACGAACGTTTCATACAAATTCTGAACGGATTATACCCTAGAAAGTGTGCAAAGCATGAATCCCTTTATCACTAAAAAGCGTCACTCATCTTCGTTCATCGTGATCTTACAAAGTTCCGTTATAATCAATGAAGCTCTCTAAACTGCATACGCTAAGGATCTCTTATTTACATTGTGTCTGCACTTCGTCATGAGATGATTCACGAGTGTGCAAAACTGCACTTAAAAACTGTGGCGCTTTCAGCAGTGAGTGAATTATGACAAAACGTTTCTGATTGGCCATTGCGTTCAAGAAATCAACAGATATCTGTGATTGGTTACATTGAGCAGTCAATCCAACACAGTCAAGAATAACTTAAAGAGGTTGCCACCGTTTAGTAAACTGTGGACTAGCTTTGGCTCTTCTTGCTGACTTGAAGGGTGATGCTTCCCGTTTGTCGATTGATGGCCTTTAATTTTTAACCAGAAATGTGCAAGCTGCTTTTCTGATGTTCACTGAAGTTTTCCGTGTCTTTTTCCCATGTCACTTGAAATGTTTCCGTTTTGAATCATTGTTACCAAAGGCGAGACACGTGGGGAAAAAATAAACAATCAGTTGTGGGACTATATTCTGTCATAAATCGCACAACATTCATTGCTGAACTTTCTACCGTTCATTGCTGGAAATGAAATGAAATTACTGGTTGATATGTCCCGATCTCAATAAAGTTTACACATGCTTTTGGTCCGTGATTTAGATCTTGCTCGGGACGCGTGCTGTCTGTGGAGGTTTGGCCAGGACCGGTTTCAGAATTAAATCAACATATTTTATGTTCCGTCCATTGCCAATCACTGCTATCCGAGAGTGAATCCTGCATAAATATGCGGATGTCATTCCCGAAACTTTGCAGGGTGTAGCCTATGTGTCCAAAAAACGAACGTTTCATACAAATTCTGAACGGATTATACCCTAGAAAGTGTGCAAAGCATGAATCCCTTTATCACTAAAAAGCGTCACTCATCTTCGTTCATCGTGATCTTACAAAGTTCCGTTATAATCAATGAAGCTCTCTAAACTGCATACGCTAAGGATCTCTTATTTACATTGTGTCTGCACTTCGTCATGAGATGATTCACGAGTGTGCAAAACTGCACTTAAAAACTGTGGCGCTTTCAGCAGTGAGTGAATTCTGACAAAACGTTTCTGATTGGCCATTGCGTTCAAGAAATCAACAGATATCTGTGATTGGTTACATTGGTCAACGCTGCACAAACATGTTGAGGGTATTTAGTGCTTGGCTAAGCACTCCAATTGCAGCAGGCCGACATCAGGGATTCCATGACTAACAATATGGGGGGGCAGTTGCCCCCCCCCCCCCAATGTCGCCCATGATAGTAGCCATAATTTCCATCAAAACACCATAACCCCAAAAGTTATTGTCATTAATTTAAAACTGCAGCAACACATTTACATTTACATTGTCATTTAGCAGACGCTTTTATCCAAAGCGACTTACAATTGGGAGTACAGTAAATAAAGTACAGTAAATAAAGGATCGAGGTCCACTCAAATAACAATGAGCATTTTGCATGCAAAATGACGCCTGTACTGTGATTAAAATTCAAGTATACTTGCTGACGTTTTAGCTAAGGAAGAAACACACTAACGTGTTATGTGAGGAGATGAATTTCATAGAAACCCCTCAAGTGCAAGCATGGACTCACCTGCATGTTTGTGGTGAGGATGACCTCTTTGACCCTGCGGACAACTGCCCTGCTGCAAAAAGAGAGCGGCCCCCTTGACCATCAAGAAGCTCTCGCTTAAACTGTAAAAGAGAGAGCGAAAGAAAGGGTAGAGAGGAGGAAATGCGAGAAACGTGGGCAAAAAAAAAAACACGCTCGCATGACATATCATACAATCTAATATGACAAAACCCACAGAGACCTGAAAGTTGTAGATTTGGATTTTACGAAAGTACAACGTGGGTTTTTCTTATATCGCATATCATGTGACACTGAAGACTGGGGAAATGGCTACTGAAAATTCAGCTTTACCATCATAGAAATAAAAGACATTTTAAAATATATTAAAATAAAAAACAGCTATTTATATTGTAATGATATTAGACAATATTATTATTTTACAGTATCTGTGATCAAATAAATGCAGCCTTCGTGAGCATAAGAGAATTCTTTCCAAAACATTCGAAATCTCTAATCTGTAGTAAACGTATGATGAAAATCACTATAAAAATAAAGTTGACAAGACATCAAAATCTGTTATTATTCAGTCACAATAAAATAAGAATGATAGGGTTTCTGATAAATATACAGTATATGGATACGTGTCCATTCTATCAATTTAAAATATAAAACATTTTGTGAATGAACAATTACTGCATATCTTTAAATCTCTGGGGTTGAATTTTGCAAGTTATACAACCCATCTCACCATCACTCACCTGTATACTCGTGACAGGTGCTTTAGGTCTGTGATTTCAGGTGTGGCAGTAATTAGCCTCACATGCAGTTAAACACACTTATAGAAATGTGAACCACCTGAGGCTCACTATTATTTTAATGCACTGTGGCACAAGTAAATCTTAATGGAAACTCAGTGCTGGGAAAAGACCTGGTAAGGTGAGAAATGCTCTCAATATCTTGCAGAGATTACTGAGCTGTCAAGAAAACACTCGTCTATTATCATACTGCCATAACAGGGCAAGGGATGGTTCACATTAATTAGACTGAACACGGTGGAGTAGTACATGACTTTGGTTGATAGTTTAATGAACTTGTGTGTGCGTTTATGTATACATGGCCTCTCCCTGCCCTTGGATTTGGTCTGTATACAGACTGTATACTTAAAAACAATAATAAAACAAAAAGAGAGAAAGAGAAATTGAGAGAGTGACAAAGAGAGAGAACAATGAATTTTGTGATATTTTAGTTCAAAATGAAATATTCCTAGTTGAAATAGTTGTACTTGTACCTACTAACATTTATTTGATTATACAGTAAAAACAGTAATTTGTGTAATATTATTACAATTTAAAATAACCGTTTTCAATTTTAATATATTTTAAAATGTAATTTAATACTGTGATGGCAAAGCTTTCAGTTTTCAGCAGTCATTACTCTAAACAGTAATACTTTTGTGGAAACCATGAAAAAAAACAAGGATTTTTAAAATGTATTTTTTAATGCATTTAATTTTATTTATGATTTTTTTAATTAATACAATTTATTTGAAATAGAAATCTTTTGTAACATTATTAATTAGTATCAATTTATTTCAATTAATTTCTCAAAACAAAACAAACATAAAACTGATCCTAAACTTTTTATTGGTATATATATTGTCAATAATATACTGTATAATATTTTTTACATACATGTTTAATATAAACACTGTATGCAAGTAATTCCTGTATCCATAACGGCAGAGAACATCAGTAAATATTGAGACTTTTTATTGCACTTTACTCCTAATTTTTGTCATCACTGAGTTCTAATGGTCATAACAGTGACTGACAAGTACAAAACAACCTACAAAGCCCTCATGCATGTCATATATATGTCAATGACTTGTCAGACAAAATAGCTGTTGACTGTGGCTCCATTCATGCAGCACACATCAAGTCAACATGCTCTCTAAATCACTCTCACTCTCCTGAATATTTAAAGCAGTCACAGCAGTTAAAGAATGAAGTTGTCACTCTCTTTTATAAGAGAAATGTTTATCAACAGAACTGTGATTAGGACTGTTCTGCTTGTGTGAATACAGCCTAATTATGCAATATGTTGAACACTGGGCAGACAGACAGATAGGCATGTTGAGACAATGCTTTTATTCTGAGATTCGTTATATAGTCAAATAGTTAGACAACCCAATGACTAGTCAATTTTGAAAATATGTAGTTCTGCCCATCCCTACACTATTCCACAAACTCAATTAATTTTAATTAAATGGTTTGTGATAAAAAAAAAAAAAAAGTCAAACTTGATGCAAGTAATGTAACTTCTCAAACACACAGATGCAATGAAAAGAAATAGAACGCGTTAACTGGAAAGGGAGATAATAGAAGCATACAATCAAAAAGATCATGGGTTGGCTATTTAGGAGTGGCTACTCAAAACCATCATGGTCTAGGCAAATATTTCAGGGTAACATTGTTTTCTCAGCCTGCAGTGGCTGTGCCCCTTTGCTGACTCATCCCTCTCATTTTCCTGACTGGACTTCCAGTGTCTCAGCATTCAGAGGAACAGCCATTACATGATAAGCAACCGGCAACAAAACTCGCATTGTACCCCAACCCCCCACCCCACCCTTCTCTTTATTTCTCTCCTACTTCCTCCTCCTCCCTTTCTCTTATTCCCCTCTACAACTTTCTCACCCTCCCACCAAAGGCCTCAAGGGTGTCAGCAGATCACAGATGCTTTTGTTTCCATCCTCCTCTCTTTTGTTTCTGCTGCGTTCTCTCTCTGTCCGCCCCTCTAAGCGATTTATGTGAAGGCTGGAAGCAGCTCAGCACCGTTGGGCTGATGGATTGAGTCATGACTGAGAGACAGACAGCTGAAAATGACGATGCACAAGCCCTGAGTGGAGTACACTCATCTCCAAGGGTGTAATTATGATGCGAGTAAGAGTTTTGAGAAGAAACCGCTCTAAAACGTCTCTGTCCACATTTCACTTGTATGCTTAGAGTCGGACACAGATGGATACATGGCACCTGGTGTAGGATGAACAGTCCTTTGGTAGAAAATCTGGAATCAAAACTGCACCACAAATATAAAGTTGTCAACTTTCTTTCCTGATGAATATAACAAAAAAGTATACACTGTAAAAAAGTAAATATTTTTTAAAAAGTGTGCAGTAAAAACCTGTTAATTGGTTAACTGTAAAAGTTACAAAATTGAACATGGTTTAACATTGCATTATATGTAATTTTACAGTAAAATAATATCAATTTTTTTTATTGGATTTTAGAAGTAAAAACTACAACCATAGAAAAAGAATTCCTTGCATGATACAAATTTCGTCATCAGTAACGTACATTAGGTTTTTTTATGTATAGCTTAATTTCAATCACAAATAACCTTGCAGTTAAGTATATTCAAATTGTTTAAATCAAATAAAAAATCTATTAAAAGAGATCAAGGAATGTATTCCATTGTTTCTATCAATTTTCATTTATATGCAATGAAGTAATTAAACAGCAACATGTGAAAGATAATGCCAATGAATCATTGAATCAGAATTTTTAACTGATTCAAAAAGACAGTTTGAACTGATTCATGAAATTAGTTGAACTTACCAACTCTAATACTGTTTTTGCTACTGGAATTTAATTTAACTTTACGTTTTAACGCTCACATACTCATGAGTCACAAGATAACAACGATATACAGATTAACATACCTACAATGACATGCCTAACTGATATACCAATAATGACAATGGCCAGATACAAATGCATTAAAACAGTTGCAATTCTTATTGTTTTGCTTAAAGGGGTCATATGATGCTTTTTTAAAGATCATTATTTGGTGTATTTGGTGTAACAGAATATGTTGACATGCTTTGTCATTCATGTTCAAATACTGTACATTATTGTAGGTAGGGATGCACGATATATCGGCCACCATATCGGTATCGGCCGATAAATGCTCATTTTATCTGTTATCGGTATCGGCCCAATAAGAAAATTTATTGCCATTTTAGGGGGGTGTGGCAGAGTCTTAACTTTGATAAAGAATATCTCTTTGGTTTTGAGACTTTAGTCTTTGCAACTTCAGGGATCTTATCTATGCACAATCAGCTTGTAACACTCCAAAGAGAAAGGAAAACTTGAAATCGCATCATATGACCCCTTTAATTTTAGATTGCCAGCAAATCATCAAACATATCTGCCCACCCAAGTAGAGGGCCAACTCCTGAACAACTCTCGCTCACTTTCTCCCAAACACATTTACACACATCTCAACAACCCCTCCATAAATGCATAAGCCAAAAATATCTTCCATATCACAGCAAAGTACAGTATCAAACACAAAAACACCTGCAGGCCTAACAAGCCCACATGTTAGTAAATTCATGTGAAGGTCATGACTGATTTGGCACTGCATTGTCGTCTGATATATTTGTAAAATGGCCATATGCAGGAATAAATTGGTACATTGGCTCTTATGTAAATGCACACAGTTTGTGCAAATACAAACTGCAAAATCCGACAACCGCATGCCTTTCATTCAGATTGAATTTAATTGAATTTCATGCAAACATCATCACTACCTCTCAGGTATCACTGGTAATCGCTCTTACATAAGAGCAACAAAACTCGTTGAGATGCGGCAAGACAAGATTTTACAGGTCAATGCAAATCTATGTGACCAACATAAAGAACAAACATGCAGGTAAGATCAAAACAGAGGCCTCAGACAAATATGAAGTATGAATGAATGCTGCCAGCTGCTCTAACTGGGTCACATATCACCTGTAGTCCAGTTTGATGTTTCTACTGCTGTACTACAGTTATTACTCAAGAAACTGTCCAAAAGATACAGAAGAATATATATATATATATATATATATATATATATTTACTTACTACTAATTGCACTACCATTCAAGGGTTTGGTGACAGTAAGATTTTTTTTTTCCCTTTTGCAACTTTTTTTTTTAAGATTTCTTGAGCATCAAATCAGCATATTAAAATGATTTCTGAAGGATCATGTGACACTGAAAACTAGATTATTTGGCTGCTGAAAATTCTGCCTTGCCATCACAGTAATAGATTATATTGTAAAATATATTAAAATAGAA